CGCACGTAATTTTACGTGCAAAGGGTTCGAGACCACTATATTGAGTTCCCCTGGGGCCCCGTGGACACGCGAAAACACGTGCCCCACGCGCATGTTGCCCCCCCCCCCTCTCCGCGCGTGTATGTTTGGCGGGCAAAGAGCTCGGCGCCCCCAGGTTGGGTCCCTCGCCTTCGGCCCCGCCGTGGCCCGAGACACGTGAAAACGAGTGCCCCGCCCGCACGCGCCAGGCGCACGCTGCCCCCCCTTTCTTCGTTGCCCCAACCGCCGCCGCGCACGTAGATTTACGTGCGAAGGATTCGACGCCACCATGCGTGCCCCGCGCGCACGCGCCATGCGCATGTCGCCCCCCCCCCCCCTTCTCCGCGCACGTACAGTCGAGGTGTTGACCTAAAGAACCCTAAATAAGGAACGAGCCCCCTTTTTTCATAAGTTAACCTTCGACTTCCCATCGAATACTTAAGGAAAACCTTGGGCAAGGTGTGGAACAATTAAGGAACATCGAGCCCCTCCCGAACGAAAAGGGTTCCTTCTTCGGCGCCCCGACTGTATGTTTAGCGGGTAAGACACTCGGCACTCCCAAGTTGGGGTCCCTCGATTGCGGCCCCGTCGTGGCCCGAAGCACGTGAAAGTACGCATGCCACGCGCGCACGCGCCAGGCGCATGTTGCCCCCCCCCCCTCCCCCCCCCTTCCGTCGCCCCCCCCCTCCGCGCAAGGACATTTTCTTTAGCCTCCGCCCCCAAGTCGGGTTCCCCTGGGGCCCCGTGGACACGCGAAAACACGTGCCCCATGCGCATGTTGCCCCGCCTCCCCCCTCTCCGCGCGTGTATGTTTGGCGGGTACAGAACTCGGCGCCCCCAAGTTGGGTCCCTCGCCTTCGGCCCCGCCGTGGCCCGAGACACGTGAAAACGAGTGCCCCGCGCGCACGCGCCAGGCGCACGCTGCCCCCCCTTTCTTCGTTGCCCCACCCGCCGCCGCGCACGTAGATTTACGTGCGAAGGATTCGACGCCACCATGCGTGCCCCGCGCGCACGCGCCATGCGCATGTCGCACCCCCCCCCTCCTCCGCGCACGTACAGTCGAGGCGTTGACCTAAGGAACCCTAAATAAGGAACGAGGCCCTTTTTTATAAGTTAACCTTCGACTTCCCATCGAAAACTTAAGGGAAACCTTGGGCAAGGTGTGGAACAATTAAGGAACATCGAGCCCCTCCCGAACGAAAAGGGTTCCTTCTTCGGCGCCCCGACTGTATGTTTAGCGGGTAAGACACTCGGCACTCCCAAGTTGGGGCCCCTCGATTGCGGCCCCGTCGTGGCCCGAAACGCGTGAAAGCACGCATGCCGCGCGCGCACGCGCCAGGCGCATGTTGCCCCCCCCCTCCCCCCCCCCCCCGCCCCCCCCCTCCCCCCCCTCCGCGCGAGGACATTTTCAAGCCTCCGCCCCCGAGTCGGGTTCCCCTGGGGCGCCGTGGGCACACGCGAAAACACGCGCCCCGCGCGCAGGCGCCCAGGGGCACGTTGGCCCCGCCCTCCGCGCACGCACCGTGACACGCTGCAGGAATCTTGTCTTGCACCTGCAGGTTGGGCCCCTCGCCTGCGGCCTCGCCGTGGCCCGAGACAGGAGAAGACGCGTGCTCCGCGCGCACGCGCCCGGCGCATGCTGGGCCCCGCCCCATCCGCGCACGTATCTCTGCGTGGTGAAGAACTCGGCACCCGCCGGTTTTGCCCCCTGCTTGCGGCCCCGTCGTGGCCCGAGGCGCGTGAAAGCACGCGCGCGCCGGACGCACGCGTGCCAAGACTCTCCTGGTCGAGACCCTCCCTCCGCACACGCCTTTCTACCGTGTGCAATTCCGACGCCTATGCTAGGGTCTGTCTAACTTGCGTGATCCACGAAGTCGGTAAGGAACTGGAGTCAAACTTTCGTCTGACGGACGCGCGCGCGACACTTTCCATTTGCTTGTCTGTAGCCGCTACTGCCTGCACGTCCTGCTTATCCTCCTCCTGCTCCTCCTGCTCCTCCTGCTCCTCCTGATCCTCCTCCTGCTCCTCGTCCTCCTGCTCCTCCTCCTCCTCCTCCCACCCTCCTCCTCTTCCTCCTCCTCCTCCTCCTCCTCCTGTCCTCCTGTCCTCCTTCTCCTCTCACCCTGCCCCTCCTCCTCCTCCGCCCCCTCCTCCCCCTCCTCCTCCTCCTTCTCCTCCTCCTCCTCCTCCTCCTCCTCTTTCTCCCCCTGCTCCACCTCCTCCTCCTTCCTCCTCCTTCCTTCTTTCTTCTTCCCCCTCCTCCTCCCCCTCATTTTGCTGCCTTCACCTTCCTCCTATCCTCGTCGTCCCCATCCTGCACGGCGACGCCTGTCACCTCTTAGGCGCATGCTGTCCCCCCCGCACCTCCGCGCTCGTGCGCGCATTTCTCACGTGCGATGAAGAACTCGCCACCCCCAGGTTGGGTCCCTCGCCTGCGGCCCCGTCTTGGCCCGAAGCTCGTGGCAACGCGGGCCCCGCACGCACGCGCCAGGTCCCCCCTTCCGCGCACGTGTTTTTAGCATTACCCGATGACGTACCCAGCCCTTCCTAGACACATGGCGACTATACCCAGGATCGCCCGTTACAAACAAACAGGTTGAAGGACACGCAGTGCGCGTGAGCACCCAGAAGTGAGATCAGAAGAGCACAGCAGCGGATGCGTGGCGCCCCACTCGGCCCCTCTTGCCAGGAGCCCGCGGAAGTGGCGGCTGTTGCGCCGTTGCCAGCCCCCCAGGGAGCCGCGAGGTCTCGGCGAGGTGTGCGTGACACCCCATTCCACCCTGCCTCGCAGGTGCCAGCCCTCAGGGAGCCGCCAGGTCTCGGCTGGGTCCGCTTGGCCCCTCACTCCGCTGGATCTTCCAGAAGCCCACGAAAGCGGCGATAATTGCGCACTTCGCAGCTCCCCCAGGGAGCCGCGAGGTCTCGACGGGGTCCGCGTGTTTTCGACGCAGTGTTTTTCACGCAGTGTTTTCTACGCAGTGTTTTCTTCGTGGTGTTTGTGCTCTGGGCTCGCGCCTTTAAATTATAGTTCTTGGTGGCTCTTGTGGCGGAGTGGACGTGATGGGGGTGTTGACAGATCCCAAACGCAGCGTGTTCCACGCAGTGTTTTCTACGCAATGTTTGCTACATAGTGCTTTCTGCGCAGTGCTTTCGGTGCTGCGTTTTCGGCTGTGTGTTTTGAGCAGGCGCCTTTCACCCATCGTTCTTGGATGCGCGCGCTTGAGGTAGAGTGGATGTGATGGGAGAGGTCGAGTAAGCTTAAGCGCAGCGTATTCCACGCAGTGTTTTCTACGCAGTGTTTTACACACCGCTTTTGCTACGCAGTGTTTTCTACCCTTGCAATCAGGTTCCCGTGCACTCTACCACAAAGCGCGCGCCGTCAACAACGACGATTGAACGGCGCTTGCCAAAACACGCGAGCGTATGCCATTGGAGAGACAGCACAGCGTACACACTATGTACAACACACTGCGTAAACACGCTGCCTCAAACGCATTGCGTAAACCAACACGTTGCGCAAGCAAACAACATTGCGCAGGAAACCAAGCGTACACACAGCGTGAAAACATTGAGTATACACCACTGCGTAGATCAATTCAGTTCACCATTCTGACCAACCCTCTGCAAGATAACTCTACGACCCTCTATAGAGCCCCATGACGACCCCAAACTGGCTCCACTAGTCCTCGTCGTCGTCGTCGCCGTCCTCCTTCTGCTCCTGCTGCTCCTCCTCCTCTTCTTCCTCCTCCTCCTTCTCCTCCTCCTCCTCTTCCTCGTCCTCCCCATTGTCATCATCATCATCCTCATCATCATCATCCTCCTCATCCTCATCCTCATCATCATCGTCCTCATCCTCACCATCATCGTCATCACCATCCCCATCACCATCATCATCATCATCACCATCATCATCATCATCCTCATCATCATCATCATCATCATCATCATCCTCATCACCATCCTCATCACCATCATCCTCATCACCAGCATCCTCACCATCCTCATCCTCATCCTCATCCTCATCCTCATCCTCATCCTCATCCTCATCCTCATCATCATCATCATCATCATCATCATCATCATCATCATCATCATCATCATCTTCATCATCATCATCATCATCGTCATCGTCGTCGTCGTCGTCGTCGTCATCATCCTCATCCTCATCCTCATCCTCATCCTCATCCTCATCCTCATCCTCTTTCTCATCCTCGTCCTCATCCTCATCCTCATCCTCGTCCTCGTCCTCATCCTCATCCTCATCATCCTCGCCTTCCTTCGTCTCCTTCTCCTCATCGTTCTCCTCTTTGTCTTCGTTGTCGTCCTCGTCCTCTTGCTCCTCGTTCTCGTCCTCACTGCACGTTCTTGTGCTTGTCCTAATCCTCGTTGTTTTCTTCTCCCTCCTTTTCGTCCTAGTCCTTCTCATCCTCATCTTCCTCCTCGTGCTCCTGCTCGTCATCGTCCCCTCTGGTGCTGGTGGTGGTGGTTCTGCTTCATCTGCTGTTGGTGCTGCTGCTGGTGCTGCTGCTGCTGCTGTTGGTGCTGCTTGATGGTGTTGCTGCTGCTGGTGCTGCGGCTGCTGGTGCTGCTTCTGCTGCTGCTGCTGGTGCTGGTGGTGGTGGTGCTGGTGCTGGTGCTGGTGCTGTTGGTTGTGGTGCTACTGGCTGTGGTGCTACTGCTGGTGCTGGTGGTGGTGGTGGTGCTGCTGCTGGCGCTGCTGCTGTTCGTGCTCCCTCGGGGTCCCCTTGGGGCTCTCTTGCGGGGTCTTGAGTCTCGGGGTCTCTGCGGGGGCAGGACGAGGGCCTCTGGGGGCATCTTGGAGAGCATCGATCAAAGGAGTGGGGGGGACCTTCGAGTTCGGCCTCCAGGAGCTGTCAGCATCGCCTCTTGGAACCCTCGTGGGGCTCTCTCAGGGAGTCTTGAGTCCCCCCCTCTGGGACGATGGAAGTCGCCTCGTGGGGCCCTCGTCGCATCGTCTTGGAGGACTCGTGGGCCCTTCGTGGGGCTCTCTTGGGCCATCATTGGGCCATCTTGAGGCCTCAATAGCGCTGTCTTCAGGTGTTTGAAGGATGTTGGCATCTTGGGGAGGTCTTGGAGGGCTCCGAGAGCACCTGGACACGTCTTGGAGCAGTCTTCGGAACCTCTGGAGCATGTCGGAAGCCATCTTGAGCCATCTTCGGCTATTTCGAGCCAACTGTGAAGCCATCGGATGCTTTCTTAGGCCCTCTTGGAGCCATCTTAATGCCATATTGAGCGCTCGAACCCACCGCCCTCGAACGGAGGCCCTGGAGCCCCCTTAGCCATCTCGCTCTAGCCATCCGATGCCATCTTGAGCGCTCTTAGCCAGCTTCTGCCCCGTAACTGCGGGCGCGGTGAAGGGTAGTTTGGGGCACCTCCCCTCGCGTGGACTTCAACAATTAACAATAGGATATAGAAAATAGGATTGGTACATTGGTAGGCTTGGAATTGGAACAGGTGCAGGGAGCAGCAAGCCTAAGCCCCGCTTTCTGTTGGCCCCACAAGGGGGCCGGCGGATACGCACACACACATGCACACACACACACACATATATATATATATATATATGTATATATACATCTATGTAGAGAGACCGCCATTCCCCGGCCCCGGGTGCCACACCTCCCCGCCACGTCTCGGGGACGCTCCCGGTACCGCTTCCCCAGGCGTTCCGGAAAACCCTGAGGGGGTCCGGAAGATCCCACACCCGTGAGAGACCCGGCTAACAAAACCCGCGAGACACAAACAACAAACAGCGCCGAACAGCGCCGAGGAACTGGACAAACATGGAAAGCCCACAATTCATTTTTTTTGTTTTGTTTTTTCATCCCCAAAAAGGATCAAGAAGCCTTTGACGACCCCAAACCGTTGAACATCCACAGGAAATTAATGATTTCTGCGTTTCCGCACTTCCCCATCTATACGATTCCGAGGCATGCGCAGGGCCTCCAAAGGAGTCCCTGGACGCAAGAAGCGACCAACATGAGATTACACGAGTTAGCCTATCAAGCCTAGCTAGAATTTGAGCGCGCGCGAAGCGCGCGGGATGGTTCTAGTATATATATATGTATATACACATACAGACATATACTCACATGAGAAAGAGGGAGAAAGAGAGAGCGAGAGAGAGAGAGAGAGAGAGAGAGAGCGAGAGAACGAACAACACATTGCGGACAGTCGCCCGCCCTAATTTTCGGATCTTCTTGTTGTGTCGGCGTCTCCTTCGGCCAAGTGTGGAATACCTTTGTACTGGACAGCACCCGCGCGCCCCAGGAATTATGAGAGGCTTGCTTCAGCCTGCGTCGCAGTAGATCGCTGGCTGAGCAGCGTGTCTTTTGTCGAATCACAGCTTGTTTCGGCGGCTTTTCAACGATTTAGTTGCGGCGGTCAGGAAAGGATGGGGGTCACATACATATTCACACAGTCTGAGGCCATACCTCGAATCACGCCCCCTCGCTCCTCCTCGTTCTCCTCCTCTTCCTCCTCGTCCTCATTATCTTCTTCTCATTGTTTTTTGTTGTTGCCGTAAGTCGGTCCAGAGGCCGTCTGGGAGTGCTGTGTCCTGGAGGGCTCTCGCGAAGGCGTCGCTGGTGCAAGACCCCGAAGGGATTTTGAAGAACGCACCAGCAGCCCTTCGCCCCGCCCCTCCTCCTAATCCTCCTGTCCTCCTGCTCATCCTCTCGCCCCATCCTCATCCTTCTCTCACTCCGTCCTCTCCAGGTTTTTCCCCTGATCCTCATCCTGCTCCTCGTGATCTTGATCCCAATCCCGATCCGCATCATCCTCCTTCCCACAACCGCTGCCCAGTTTCTCGCGCGGTCCCGGGGGGGACCACTCCCCGCTCCCTCGGCTTTTGACAGAGGCTTGCCTTTCCTCTGCACAGTCTGTCACCTCTTCGGACCAGCGGTTGTGCCTCCACAGTTTAGTTCTCGCATCCAGGCGCCGCGAAGGAACCACGACGGGTGTTGTCCCATCACGAGAAATGTCGCAGTAAAGATGGCGTCGGAATTTTTGGTCGCACTTACCCCACGTTCCTAAGCATGGGTTCTTGTCGTTGGTGTGATGCCTCCGCCCCCTCCTCAGCTTCCGTCTCCTCCCATATTCAGACCCATTCATGCGCAGTTACTCTCTCCGACCCAGTCACGTCACATTCAGATTCTCGTACTCAGACTCGATCAACCCATTCATACTCACGCTCGTTCACACTGCGGCTCCCTCATTCTATCGCCCACTCACGTTCGGACTCCTCTCATTCTTGGACCACTCATGCTCAGACCCGCTCATGATCAGACCTGCTCACGCTCAGACCCGCTCATGCCCAGACCCGCTCCTGTTCAGACTCGCTCACACTCCGCCCCGCTCCCCACTGGGACCCGCTCACACTCAGGCCGCCAATGATCCGACCGACCCAAGCTGAGCCTCACCCACGCTGAGGCCCACTCATACTCTGACTCACCCATACTA